CACATTTTAGATTTACTGTACATTTGCGATCCTTCTACAATGTCTCTTTCACTTTATTTCTTGGAGTGTCAGCTGGAAATAGCTTTAGTTTCCTGCAACTCTAGTCAAAGCAGCTCAAGGGAGTACATTCTGTTCTCAACGCTTAGTCAAAACCTTATGTGATTCTAGTGAGCTTTATTCCCAAGTAAATGTATCTCACAATTTCAGTTTATTTAGTTCTTTCCTCTCTGCATCAATACAATATTGATAATATTGTTATATTATATTGTAATCAGATAATATGTTAAAACTCCTTTGTTTAAATTCTCTACCACCCCATGATGCTCTATTGATGTTGGATGATTAAAACAAGTAATTGTGAGAAGAGGCTCCATAAAAATCTCTATCCTCCATGAAGCGGGAGCATGACACTTCAAAAAAAAAGACAAGCCTGAAAAATACAATGCCAGTTGTCAGCCAATTTGATTCATTCCAAGTTATATCAATAAATAAGCACCGGACACAACAAAGATGAGGGGACCGCTTTGCAGAACACCTACGCTCGGTTCGCAACAAACAACTGCACCTCCCAGTCGCGAACCATTTCAACTCCCCCTGCTACTCCTCAGACGACATGTCCATCCTGGGCCTTCTGCAGTGCCACAACGATGCCACCCGAAGGTTGCAGGAACAGGACCTCATATTTCGCTTGGGAACCCTGCAGCCCATTGGTATCAATGTGGACTTCACCAGTTTCAAAACCTCCCCTCCCCCGACCGCATTCCAAAACCAGCCCAGCTCGTTCCCGCCTCCCTAACCTGTCCTCCCACCTATCCCCTCCTCCACCTCAAGCCCCACCCCCATCTCCTATCTACTAGCCTCATCCCGCCTCCTTGACCTATCCGTCCTCCCTGGACCGACCTATTTCCTCCCTAATCCCCCACCTACACTCACCTTTACTGGCTCCAACCCCGCCTCCTTGACCTGTCTGTCTCCTCTCCACCTATCTTCTCCTTTATCCATCTTCTATCTGCATCCCCCTCTCTCCCTGTTTATTTCAGAATCGCCTTCCCTCCCCCATTTCTGAAGAAGGGTCTAGACCCGAAACGTCAGCTTTCCTGCTCCTCTGATACTGCTTGGCCTGCTGTGTTCATCCAGCTCTACACCTTGTTATCAACGATTATGGGCCTTGACAACATTCCAGTAATAGTACTGAAAGCTTCTTCTCCAAAATTGGTCCCCCCCACCGCCACCATCCACCACAGGATCCCATAGTGAATCTTTCAGGAAGCAGTGCTATAATGCCTGCCTTCCAATCAGTCCTGGACTTCCCACGTAGATGCGACAGTCAAGAAGGCACAACAATGCCTCTTCTTCCTCAGGCAGCTCAGGAAATTTGGCATGTCCCTAAGTTCCCTCACCAAATTCTACAGATGCACCATTGAAAGCATACTGTCTGGGTGCATAATAGTCAGGTATGGCAACTGCTCTGCCCAGGACAGTAAGAAACTACAGAAAGTTGTGTGCACAGCCCAGGCCATCACGAAAGCCAACCTTCCATCCACGGGCTCTATTTACATTGCTCGCTACCGCTGAAAGGCAGCCAACATCATCGAAAACCCATCGCACCCTGGTAATGCTCTCCTACAACCTCTTCCGTCAGGCAGAAGATACAGCAGCCTGAACACACGCACAAGCAGGTTCAGGAACAGCTTCTTTCCAGCCGTTATCAGACTGTTGAATGGACTCTAGCCTCAAATAATATCACCTGCAATGTAACCTGTATGCCTCTAAGTCTTTTTGATCTGTGCATCCTTTGCTTGCTGTGATCTGCCTGTACCACTCATAAACAAAGCTTTTCACTGTATTGTGGTACATATGGCAATAAAATCAAAAACAAAATCAAATCAAAAGAAGGTTTAAACCGATATCGCTGTTCCTTCACTGACACTGGGTCAAAATTCTAGAAGTGCCTTTCCAACAGCACTGCAGGTGCATCTAGACCCCTCAGAGCACAGTGATTCAAGAAAACACCTTACTACCATCTCCAGAAGGGTAATTTGGGGTGGACAATAAATATTGGCCCAGCCAGTGACACCCACATCCTGTGAGAGGAGTGAATTTTAAAAAAAAGTCTCTATTTAAAATTTAGTTCAATGACAGATAATGTGATTTGTGTCGAGATAACTTTGATGTTGACCATCAGGTTCCTATGTGGTCACAAAGGTAGCAACAGGCATTAGGCTGGCACTGAAAACCTACAAACACTTCTTTTTCTCCCCTCCTCCTAGTCTGTCTTCCCTGTGCCCTACACTTCCTGTGTCTGAGCATACACAAAAATATGAAAAGGAGAGAGAAACTGTAATCAAACAGGTACATCAACCATCACCTTTCTCGATGATGTAATCTTTGTGCGCCAGTGTCCCAAATCAAACATACTGCCAACTGTGGAGACAAACTTGAAATAATAAAAATAAGGATAATTTAAAATCAAAATCAGGGCGATTCCACTTTGGTCTCCCTCGCGCTCCCTTTAGACAATCACACAAGATCCCAGGAGACTGCAGAGACACATTGTGTCACATATCACCATCTCCCCTGAGGATAGATCAAAATAAACTAATCTCATAGCACTTCCAGTGTCACCTCTTGCTGGGTATAGAAGATGTTATGAGTGCGGACATTCTTTTTGTGCTGTTTGTGTGACCCGTCGGTTTAATTAACAGCATTTGTCTGTCAGGGATATAATTCCAGTTATGTATCAATCTTCAGATAATGAAGTCACAATTCGACCCACATATGTCCACGTATTGTAACTTAGTCACAAAGCAAGGAAACTGGAATCCTCCCCTCACCTTCATCCGCAGCTGACAACTGAGGGAGAGCAGAGAGCAACCAACGCTGTGACCCTAATGGTGCTGCCTTTGTTGTCCCCCTGGGGCAGGATTGCCCACTGAGGTTGGATGTATTTCTGGATGTGTCATCACATGAACAGCTACCTCTTACCACCCTGCCTCCACAGAGCTGCCATTGATCATTCAAAACAAATATCCCTGCCGCACTCACTTTCCTGTGCCATTCAGAAAGCAGGCCAGGAGGGAGGGATAGCATTGGAACCATTACTTGTCCTTTTTTTTCTGGGCCTCTTATCTCCTCCCATCTTTAACTCTCCCCTTCACATCCTTTGAAATTGGGAACAGGGGTCAAAATATTAATCCCTCTACCCACCACACACCACACCCTAACCTGTCCTTGAGATATTCTCAAAGGATACTTTTTGATTTTCATGGGCTATATTTTCATTCTCACTCACTCAATTTATAAAACAATGCAGTCACTTTCTAGCAACACCTTCGGTATTTTGATGATATGTGGGGTTTTGGGATCACACAGAAGCAGAGTTAGAAGAATTCATCAATACCCTGAATAATTATCAATCCTCCATTAAACTTAATGCTACAGCACACAATGAACACATCACAGACCTCATGTAATCTGAAAGAAAGACATAGTAATTTAAATCTAGTAACACAAGACAACAGGCATAAGGTGGCAAGTTTTTCTATCATAATAAATGACACACATCTACACACAAAAAACCATCATCTGAAACATCCCATCCTCAGACTGATGAGGCAACAACTAAAGTACTCGCATTGCATATTCACAAAACTGGAAGATTTTAACCAGGCAGTTACTACCTTTTCCACTGCTTCTTAGATCTCAGTCTCAGATTTAAGTTTAACAATTGACTCAATGTTCAACATTGTCCACTACATTGTATGCCACCCATTATAGTCACTTGTAAACATATGCATACTTAAGCAAGAGATTCCAAATTAATTTGCAAGGATTTCATTACCTCATTGCTTTACTTGGATCCTACTTAACCGAATATTCACACACGACAGGTTTAAAAGTGTTCACTCTCTTTTGCAGCCTCCTTCTCCTCACACAGCCTGTTTGCAGCCTCCCTCCTTCTCCCCAACTCTTTGAAGCCTCCCTCCAGCTCCACCTACTGCTAGTTTCCTTTCCACTTTTAAGCCTCTCTCGCCCTCCATGTTGCAGTCTCCTTTCTCATTCACCACTGCAGTCTCTCTTCCCTCCTCCTTGAGGCCTCTCATTATGCCCCTGCCCATCCCAAACCTTCTCTCTTCCCCCCTCGCAGACTCTCTCTCTGTTCAAAACCCTGTCACTTATCCTCTAGGCTCATGCCAAAACCTTTCAGCTACAAACACAAAAGAGAACCAGCCTGTGAATGCAGGAGCACCTCCTCAGAGACTCTGTCCAAAGCCCTGTACCTGAATTTTTCCACGTGATTGGAGACAGGAATACCCTCTGTCCTGTGTGTTTGGTATGCTGCTATTTGGCCAATTAGCTGGAGCTCAAGCTTCTGTAGAGCACAGCCCCAGTGATTAGATGCAAGAGTATCCCCCACACCCAGAGCCTATTGTAACATGGAGTCTCATTATCCGACTGGACAATTTTTAATTGTCAGCCAAATGGCCTTTGGTTCTCCCACTGCAGACTTTTGTGTTGTTATTAACTAAAGTGTTCAATGACTTCTCTTTAAAAAGCACATGCTTTGTTTTCTAAAGCCCCACTGAGTTTCCTTTCCGGTTACTTGTGGCTGCATCTTGTAGATTCATCTTTAATTTTGGAGAACAAAAGGCAAAGACAATGTTGGGTGAGGGGTTTGACAACCCTGGGCAAATGTCCCCTGGGTAGCAGTGTTGCTGGCTGCAGTTCTTACTTCGAGTCCCATAACTGTACTTGACCTGATTATACATATTTTAATCAAACTGTTCAGACATGATGTATTAACCCTCTGGAATAGTTACGACTTGAACCTGGACCTTCTAGCCCAGATTTAGGGACACTACCACTGCACCCTTGACCTTACTGCACGATTTCTGTGCTCTCTTCAGTGTCTGTGCTCTCACAGACCCAAACATCAAATGTCAAGCCTGATTCAGTGCCTTCCCATCTCTTCCCTGCACATATACAAAGCTGATTCTTACCTGTCGGCGGTTTCAGTATTGGTGGTGGGATCAATGGTACAATGATGGGGACACTCCCATGATCCTTTGATCCAGCTGGCATTTCGGAAAGCCCGTTTCCTGCCGTCATTCCTGGAAAGCTTGCGTTGGAGTTTGATGGTGAAGTAATGACACTTTCTTCGGATAGTTTTAGTTTTGGCAAGGAGTTCTCTACGAATAAAGTGGAGAGAAAAGCAAAACGTTATTAAACATTTACATTGTGTCCATGGATACTCATGAACATTCAAATTGTGAATCTTAACCAAAGGCTTGCCTTAATGGAAACTGTCAGTCACCACAGCAGCAGCTTCTTAGATTTTATGTGAAAAAATAATTTTACTGAGTGTTTTATTTTATTAGATATTTGAATAGACAGATTGACCTTGTGGCTTTTATTTCTCTTTATACTGTTTTAATTCAGTACTTGGAATTACTTGGAACTGCAAGTGGAGAAAAGGATTTGCAAATATTACTGCTTCCAAATATTTCCTTCTTTCAGTGCATCATTAGTTAGGAGCAGGCATTATGGCAGTCTCCCTCCTTAAAGGATATTAGTGAACCAGGTGGGTTTTTCCCCTGACAATCAACAATGGCTCTGTGGTCATTATTAGACTCTTAATTCCAGATTTTTGTTATTGAATTCAAACTCTGCCATCTACCATGGTCGGATTTGAACCTGGGTGCCTGGATTAATGGTCCAGCAATAATACCACTAAGCCATCGCCTCTCCTTCAAAGTATAATAAGTCCAAGTACAAATTCACTGTAGGAGGACACAAATACCAAACAATGCCACGAGTTAATAACCTTAATTCAAGTTTATGAGATCAATTTTCCTTTAAAGTAACGTGGTAAAAATCCTTCGACATTTCTTGCAGTCCTTTTAAATCAAATTTTTGCTGAACATTGTATCCAGAGCCTGGCCATTATAGGAGCTGGTCAGAAGTGCCTCTTTTACACATTCATACTTTTTTATCATTATGTAGGTTCGGTAATGTGGTAACATTCTCTGCTTACTGTCCATCAACCAATCTTCCAAACATATCAACCCAAACATGGAAAGGCTCATGATTTTGGAAGGATCTTTGGTGAATTTCTGCAGTATATCTTGTAGTTGGTACACATTGCTTCTACTAAGTATCAGGGAGTGGATGACTGTGAATGTGAAGCCAATCAAGCCTCTGCACTCCAAGGTAATTCATCATGTTTGAAGCACCTTCAGGCATTTCTAAATGTAATAATGAAGCACCATATCAATGTGAGTGCTCCTTTCATCCAGGATGGAAAACTAAAATTTTCAATAGTCTTACCTCCCTGTTCCTGCACTTCTCTGGCATCCTCACCAGCCAGGATAGAAATATTGGTTTGAAGCAGCAAATTAGTACAAATTTAGGATCTTCCATACTTGGAAAAGTAGCAAATACTGTTATTCAAGTTGTTTATACAGAAGTCTATCACAAGTCTATTGTGGTCAAAATCTTGCAATTTCACTTGCAAACTTTACCATTGTCCCAAGCCAAAGTTATTATTATGCATCAAAAATAACTATTTTCCTAATAATAAAACCTGGGTGACATCACTGTGGATTTTTATCAATGAGGACAAGGGCAGAATTTGTGTTAATGAAATATTTTGAATGTCAAAATATTCCATGTTTTTCTTTGGAGTATGACGTTCAGTTTTGGGCTTTGAACAACAAGTGAAGTTTGATTAGAATCATTCCAAGATTTAAAGGGTTATATTATTGGCTGCTGGCATTAATTTGAGTTTATAAAGTTGAGGGGTGATCTAATTGAAGTCGATGACAAATATACTATATGGTAGGTGTACAGACTATTTCTTCTGTCTGGAGAAATCACCACAAGAAGTTAGGAATAAAAGCAGAAAGCATTATGTCAAACAAAGAATAGGGGAAATGTAGAACCAGCTTCAGCAACCATCAGCCCATCATAAGGTCAGAGATAACACAGTGTGGAGCTGGAGGAACACAGCAGGCCAGGCTGCATCAGAGGAGGAGGAAAGCTGACGTTTCGGGGTGGGATCCTTATTCAGAAATGTCAGAGATGTGGCTGTACAATGTTCAGTGATGTTTGCAATTCCTCAGTTAATGCTGCATTCCTGTCAGGGTCCGATCATCTCTCTTTGACATTGAGCAACATTACCATTATTGAAGTTTGCCTTCCTTACCAAGTTTGGCTTCCATGTGACTCCAGATCCACAGCAATGTGGTTGATTCTTAACTGCCACTGGGCAATTAGGAATGGGCAATAAATGCTGGCCTAGCCAGTGACATTCATTGCATGAATGAAGTCTTTGTTGCACAACAGCAATTTGGTACCTCCAGAAACTGTTATTTGGATCTTGTAAGCAGCACATTTACTTGCAACTCTGAGTAAAATATTTGCAACAGATATCCTGCAAGTTTCTAATAATTTTAAGCCGACAATGTCCTCCAGCCCCATACTTGGAGATATCTGCATTCATCTATGAATGGGTAAGTCAGATCCCAGCATGAAACCTGGCCTAATTGACCATTTGTTTTACTTTTGCTTCTGTTTGTCATGGTGGTCAGTCACTGAATATGCGCACAAGAAACTGTCAATGTACTTTTAATAAAAAAGCTCAGAACTTTATTACACACAAAAGAAAATTACAAAATATATTACAGCATACATGAACTATTTGAAATGGTCTTATTAGAACTATCAGATAAAAAGATTCAAGCCTTTTAATCCCAGCAAACACTTAAACCTCAGTGAAGGCTTTACACTAAAACTCCTTGTTTAGCTGCCATAACTGATTTCCTTTTCAAAGTTCTGTACATTCACTCAAAGCAATTTCTATCATTAATATCTCTTCCAGGGGGTCTTAATCAAGCTGCTAATGCAGTTCACTTACAACCATACGTGGGCTCCCTAAACTCATGTCTTACATCTCTGATACCTCCACAGTCTTTTGCTTCTAGGGTTTTCTTCTAAGCAACTTAGCCCTGACTGGTTTAAAACTGCTAAACCAACAGCACCTCTACTGTAAAGGACCTCTTTTCTTCCTCTGAACCATTTTCTGTCTGAATGAACCTGCTTCGGGGCACCTCTTTCTGTCCCTTTGAGTTGTAAACCTTAAGATAGCAAATACCTTAGCAATTACGATCCTTGTGGGTTTAGCAGTCATTAGCTAAAATCACGTGATTTATTGGAAAAGCTCTCTATTCAAAAATGACTTTCTGATCTGTTAAAAAAAATCACGTCTTCACTGAACCAAAAATGGATGTCAATTTTCCTCTACTTTGGAATCCAAGCTTTCAAACAGTAACAATACATTATTAGTCTTCCCAACACTAGCCTTTTGAGCATCCCAGATGGAATTGCTCCACACTTATAGCCCAGGACCTGAGCTTTAGAGCTCTAAGCTTCTCCTTAAATCTCACTGCCATGTTACCTTGCTTTCTTCCTTTAAAACATTCCTCAAACCTTCCTACTCATAATAATGCTTTTTGTGGCTCAGTGTCTAATTTTGCTTTATAACATTTTTACACATTAAAGATGCTTTATAAGTTGTGGTTATTTTTCGATCATTTATCACAGCATTCAGTAAAATAAAGAATAGTTCAAATTCATAACTAGACAATGAATTTGACTGGTCCGGAAGGCCAGGTTAAAAGCTGAATTATTGATGTAGAGAGAGATGACTTTAGGAACAAAATATTCCTGGAAAAGCCAGGAATTGGATCACCACATAAACAAATATCTTCAGCAGTGCCACTGATAATAATCATAGAATCCTTATAGCTCATTAAACCATACCAACTCTCTGACAAAGGTCCCACCCATATCCATTCCCCTACCCTGTAACCCTACATTTCCCAGCTAATTCACCCAGCCTGCACATCCCCAGACACTGTAGGCAATTTAGTATGGCCAGTTGACCCAACCTGTACATTTTTGAACTGTGGGAGGAAACCCACTCAGACATGGGGAGAACGTGCAAATTCCACATAGACAGTCACCCATGGCTGGAATTGAACCTGGGTCCCTGGTGCTGTGAGGCAGCTGTGCTAACCACTGAGCCATGATGCTGCCCCTAACAAGGGGGCAGTTGCATGATAACTGCACTTGACCCACCTTGTTGCAAAGTTTTGTCACTGAAGGTGCTATTAATTGTTACTCATGGATTAATCACCTTCTTCTGTATTCCTGTGAATAGAGCCAAGGGTGTCGACTGTGTCCTCAGCTCTTTGGCAGGATTATTCCCACACTACCAACATTCAGTCCTGCTTAAACTCACAGAAATGACTGAGATTTGCACACAGCATTAAGAGTTAAATTAAATTAAATGTCTTCTTCTTGTTCCTGCTCTGCTTAGATTTGCTGAAAAGAAATTTCTTGAATCGGACCAAGTGAATAATGCTGCCTATGTCAACAATAAGGATGAGAAACAAATGAATGGCAGCTTAGATTAGAATTTACTCATCAACGATTGGAAAGACACTCTGTCAAAGAAGTATGATGCAGCAAAAAATGAACAGGAGGTAGATTATTTACAGTAAAGAGTTAACTTCTGAGCATGTACCTAGCAATCTATGTCAATGATAGTATCACAGTCACAGGATGATGATGAGATTTTGAAGAATCTGCCAACGTGTAGAGCTCTTCTGAGTAAGAAGTATATTGTTAGCATGGTACAAAAAAACAATTACAGTACTTTAAAAAGTCCTACCAATCCAGGTGTCACTTCTCTATTGTAACACATTCCCAACACAGTCTAACACACCACATGAGGAAGTGGAGGTGGCAATGTAGTGGTATAGTCTTTGGCCTAGTAACCCAGTGACCCAGGGTAATCCACCGAGGGTCACGGAACCCAATCCCACCCACTGGTGAAATGTGAATTCAAGTTCCAAATCAAGAATTAAAAACTGACCTGATAGCAACCAATAAACCATTGTCAAAATATCACAGAAATCCATATGGCTCACTAATCTGGAGAGGGTGCAGAGGAGGTTCACTAGGTTAATTCCAGAGTTGAGAGGGTTGCCTTATGGTGAGATTGAGTAGACTGGGACTGTACTCATTTGGAAGAATGAGGGGGGATCTTATAGAAACATATAAAATTATGAAGGGAGTAGATAAGATAGAAGCAGGGAAGTTGTTTCCACTGGCGGGTGAACTAGGA